GAAGTGTTTAGGAATCACAGCACACACAGTTCTTTTGGCCTTTTATGGATACAGACAGTGCAGATAGACGGGGGAACATATGCAGCAAAGGGCTGCAGGTCAGACTCAAACCTGGGCCTACTGCTGTCCAGCCATACGGCATATGGTCACCTGCTCACTCACTGAGCTAAACCAGCATCACTGACCGCGTGCAGTCACAGGTGGCCGAGTGCTGACTGCAATAACTGCAGAGTTCCAAGCCTCCTCGGCATTAGCATGGGTTTCTGTGGCTAAGCAAAACAATAAAATAAAAATATAATATATCTGTTAGTTTGGTAAAACAGTTTCTTTGTTTTTTGACTGATGATCATGGAAAAGCATTTTTTGTGAGACTCTAAATGTGTCAAGACTGTCAAGTTCTGAATGTTTATTGTAAATAGCTGTGCTGGTTTTTCTAAAACGTACGTCTGACATATGCCCCCCATACGATTATAAAGAAAAAGACTAAACAGTAAAAAGTGAACTTTAACATACATCAGAGAGTACTGAGGAGTTCCTGAGCGTCATGCACTCTGAACTTTGCTCAGCATGTATCTGGGGGTAGTGATGTTGCCAGTCATACTTTGGACTCTGTCTTCACTCATGGCGTTACTATTGACCGTGTGAACATAAGTGAAGTTGTTCTCAGTGACCATAAGTCAGTCTCCTTTAATGTTTCCTGTAACTCAGAGTCTTTTTCTGAAGTTTGTCTTTAGCGCAGCCACTTTATCGATAACTGTTTTCTTCTTTTTGATAATGTGGAGCTCCTTGTTAACTTCTTACAAACTATCCAGCTGTCAGTTCCCACTCACTCTGGTTAAATAATCAAACTCACGGCCTTCACTCTTATAATGATGCATGAAAGAGGCTAGATACTTTTATTTCCACAATCGCATAAATTGTCATAAGAATAATCCAAGGATTTATATGCTACTATCAAAGGTGTTTCTTCTACAACTCAACATGCTGTGTTACATGCTGATGACGCTTTTAACACATTTCTTAATCAGTTTGTAAAAAAGGTGATGGACTTCCATCCATTCACTTCCGCTTATCCTCTCCAGTGAAATGAAACCTTTATCCTTAGACATATTAGCCGTCTGTCCTGTCTGGGACTCGCACCAGCTTTGGTCCTACATTGGCGTCTGATGCAGAGAGTTGTTCTATAATCTATAATCATTCTGCTTGATCTCAGTGCAACCTTTGATGTCTTATTTCCTTCTTACATGCTTCCTTTAGCTAGCATTCTTCAATCTTTTAATGGCATTCCTTATCATTTTAATGCCGATGATATTCAGCTGCATATGTCTTCTAACCCTCATGTCTACGGCCACTGCTTGACTCAGGTTACTAAAGAAACCCAACAATTACCCTTTTTTAAAAAAAAATACCAATAAGACTGAGATTATTGCTCCTCCTGAGTTACAGTCGGGCTCTTGAGTCTTTTTGCAAGACTGCTAAGTCCTGCATTTGAAATCTTGTTATATAAATCCTGTCTTCCTTCTCTCACCCCAACCAATCACAGCAGAGCCTGGTTCTGTCAGAGGTTTCTTCCTGTTAAAAGGGAGTTTTTCCTTCCCACTGTCGCCAAAGTGCTGTTCAAAGGGGGTCATATGATTGTTGGGTTTTCTCTGTGTGTGTTATTGTAGGGTCTACATTACAATATAAAGCACCTTGAAATGGCTGTTGTTGTGATTTGTTGCTGTATAAATATTTGATTCTTCTCTGCACTTTGACTCACATATAAAATCGTTGTCTCTTGTGTTAATTAGAGCACTAGGCTCCAGATTATCTCAGCTACTGCTTCTTCATTCACAGGCTCAGATTCAGTTAGTTGTTCCCTGTACGAGACTAAAGAGTACAGGCAACAGATCCCTTCTGTGGAGGCTGTGGCTGTGGAACATTTTACATTTTGCTGACTCTGTAGATTCTTTAAAAAAATAGCTGAAAAGTTAATTGTTTAAACAAGCTTAGTGTTGAAAATGTTTATTTATTTATTATTTATGCATTTTAAAACTACCTGTTTATAGTATTATGTCTTATTGTACCCTTTTATTGGCTATTACGTCGCTTGATGCTTTTATTTATTTTACCCACTTGTGTACACTGCTTTGTGAGCGTTTGTAGTGTTTCTTTTAATAAGCTCAGTTTGGCAGCAGGTACGAGTCCCGGGCTCCCCCACATCTGTCAGCACAGCATCTGCATGTGTAGTTGACTCAAGTTATAATGGTAAGCTAGCATTGTGCATGATGTTCTGCATTATTTGCATCTATTTAACTAGATTGGAAACATAAACTCAACCTTAATTATCAACAAGAGTGAATGAGAAACGATTGCAGCTCCTGCTCCTGCCACTTTACTTTGTGTCATTATGCCCATCAGATATTGCATACTGCGCTTTTAAAAGCCCATAAAGACGTGTATTCAAATATGGCCATCTTAACATAATCCACGATACAGACTCGGTCCGGCTGTTTGAAACAGTACAGACACCAATTAGTCACCCGCAGCTTTTCACTCACACGCAGCGCTGAGGCTGTTTCTCCCTATATGCAACGTTAGTTGTAGCCCTTACCTTCCCCTTTGTCTCTGACAGATGAAAAGCAGACGACAAAGGAGGTGCCACATCGTGTTGAACCACACCATCTGAGCTGGCAGCACAGCAAAGTGTCCAAACAACCTTTCCCCAAACAGACGCCCATTCAAGCTCAGCGTAATTAGTTGCAAATGCCTTTTAGGATGAGCCAGTGATGGCCGTGAGGAGCTTGTATACACAAAGCTCATGCTCTTTAAATGAGTGATTTTTTCCCCATTTTTTGTTACATTTTCTTTCATTTTAAAATGAACTCAATCTGCTGGTGCTCACGTATAGCTCAATTAAAGTACTTGGGTCACTTTAAAGTTTTTAAACAGGGCTCTGGTTACCTTTTCCTATAACAGGACTGAATGTTAGGCAGTGATATTAATCTTCTCATATAATCACAATCACATTGGAGCGGTCCATGACCTACACACAATATGGGCTTGTTTTGTCAGAGATCAAACAAAGCGAATTAAAATGCCCTTGTGTGTGTTAGTCTGCATAATTGGCTTCCGGTAAACATGTCTGTGATGCTTCATGGTGGAGATCGTGGCAGTCATAATTGTTTTCAAACCATTAAGTAAAACCTCTCTGATGAGGATCCTTTATGTTTATGTCTGTCTGACTCTTCAAAGCGGTCGCTTGAGCCAACATCACAACATCACTCTTGTGAAAGGAAGTGAATGGCTGAGGGTTTCATTTTTACGATTTGTCCTTCTTTCTTTTACTTGTGAAAATGCACATGTACAGCATTTCCTGCATGCAGGATAAATGTGGACGTTTTTAGGTGCATCTCTCTGATTTACTGTAATGTGTCGTGTTGCCGGTTCCACGTCACTGCATGTCAACTATTACTGTGTGCTGTTGCTGACTGCACTCATATGCGAGGCTGTTGCAAGAGTCTCTGGAGATCTGTTTTAGCCACAGAAGTAAAGGACTAAAGGGTTTAGTATGTCTCCTCATCTGTGGAAAACAGGATGAGGAGTAACTCACAGCTCACAGAGTTCGAGCTCAGAGTTGCACAAAACTCTTTTCATTGAGTCATCAGGCCATCGGGCAAGGTGCACGGATGAGGTTCTTTCCAGTGAATTTACTCTTAAATTGTTTTCATGTATACAACCTGTCAGATGAACTGTAGGCAGATAGACAGGCAGATAATACAGCAGATGTGTGGAGCAGAGCAAAATGAGACGAGATAAAAAGGGAGAGAGTTTGGGACACAGGAAGCCAGGAAAGAAGAATGAAAGGCTGCACATGACTTTGACTAACCCATCCAGGCGGCATCCTACTTGGCTCAAGGAAGAGAAGGTGCACAGACGTCAGCCTGAATCAGAGTGCACGTATACCTGTGCTGCATCAGCCGTCGCACAGACAGAGCAGGAGGACCTGGGCTTAGGTCTTCCTCTACTGCACGGCAGATCTCCTGCTGTTCACACGGAGGGGGAGGACTGTTTGTTTAAGTGGCTCTGCATGGCAACCACTTGCAAGCTGCTCCGATGAAAACCTCTGCTGGCTCAGCATGGAGGTGGGTGGTTATCCCCAGATGAATAAACACTCACTGACATCCCCCAACCAACTACTCCCTTCCTGAGCTGTACTGTGATGTTTCAGGGGTTACTCTCGAAGGATGGCACTCATCAGGGTTGATGGATTTCCTGCTACCTAAGAAACCAGCAGGAACAGACTTTTATGGTGACGTGTGTGTGTGTCGTTTTAATCACTGTATCAAACAACAGACATTAGAGTGCCTCTCTAATGTGTGTTTGCTGTCATTGTGTGTTGTTTTGGTGTCTTTACTCTCATTTGTTTCTGTCCGAGACAATTTTACTCAAGCTGAACACTTGATATGTCACGCCAGGGAAATCCACTCTAGGGCAGTGATGGTGAAATTGTATTCCTATGCATAGCACCTTTAACATATTTACATACAATACTGTTACCTGTAACTTCATTTAGCATCTGTGACCGATGCACAGACTTGATTCAGCCTTCAGGTTTCAAGGGTTCCAGTTTCATCCAGACTGTGTGAAGAGGTGTGGCAGTGAGCGAGAGCCCACTCACAAAGCTTATTAGATTTTAAGTACACAGAGTGCATTGAGTCATTGATCAGAGCTACCAAATGGAAAGCAAATTTGAAACTTGACTCACAGTGCTAATAAAAATACCCTCTGCATTTCCCCTCAAACAGCAATATTTAGTTCATTAAAGTGGTCATTTTCACGTTTACTTCTACAGTATATAGAAAAAAAAAGGTTTATTCTCAATTTACTTCAGTTAAGAGCGACTGCCTACACCGCTGAAACCGGGCTTTAATGACTCAACTGCTACGTCAGCTCTGTAATTCATTTGACACCATTTAGGCCGGCATGATTACTAACCTTTGCCCTCTGGTCTTCATCAGACATGGACGAATGTGAGAATGACTACAATGGGGGCTGTGTCCACGAATGCATCAACATACCAGGCAACTACAGGTGCATGTGCTACGATGGATTCATGCTGGCCCACGATGGACACAACTGTCTGGGTAACTCAATTTTTCAATGCATTATTCCCCTTCGTGTGCATCTCTTATAACAGGATACAAACCTCAATGACATTTGTGGTGTTTTGCAAAATAACTAAGCTTTGTTCAAAATGCGAACATCTTGAGTATTTTGTATGTGTCTGCATACTGCGTGCACATTTAGTGATGATGGGTAATCTATATATCTGTGTGTGTGTGTGTGTACATGTTTAGACATAGACATTAGGTTTAGACATTTATTTCTGGCTATGTCAATGAGATGTCCACACTAAGATATAAAAACGAGTATGTGTGTTTAAGTGTGTGCACTTTTGTCCTTGTACCTATTAAACCTGTCTGGCTCAGGACGCCTTGCTCGCATAGTCGCTCTGTCATCAGTTGGAGGGTTTCCATGATTTGTGCTGTTTTATGCTCTTTTCTGTGTACTGCAGGGAGGCGCTCAGGGTTGAAGAGTTCTCCTGCAGATATCTGGCTGTGCTTTAGTACTGACAGATCAGACCATTTAGGCCGAGTGCTCTGTTATCCACTTGCAGTCAGCTAGACTTCTGTGTTTTTTTCTCCTGCCCCGTGTAACATGCAGGACTGCGTGGATGTGCTCAAACACACTTTATCTCATCGGTCCTGTGCTGCTGACTGACGACCACAAAGTAACGTCAGAAACATAAGAACAGTCGTTCCAGATGCTCGTGTGTCTTTGCTGGGATATGTTTGGCATTTGAAAGTGTTGTAACTCATTCTTTAAACTTTTAGAGAGACTAGGTAAGAGATTGATTGCTAAGGCAGCAGCTGCCAGTGGAGACTAGCTGCTGAATTGTGGATTCACCTCACAGGAATGACTCGCAGACAGCTGATATAGAGCAGAGTTAAAGCTAAAGTTGAAGGTTTGCCATTAGAATTTAATTTCATGCACAAACATGGTCAAAGGCATTATTAACTACGCTGTCTATTGAGCTACATTCTTAACATTGACTGCACTACCAAACACATGACACACCTTTTTTTTTATTAATAATAACTCCCTGCTAAATATTTTTAATGTAAGGCGATTCGTTTAGTTCTTCTCCTTTTTTATTAAAGAGAGGAAAGTTGATCAATTTTCAGAAACTAAGAACAAAACAGCCTTATGATGAAAGGTTGATGCTTCAGTTGACTTCCTGGTTTGTTTTGTAGTGTTTGTGATCACCCACATCTATCATATGTCTGTAAGTTAGCTCAGATCATACTCTATACTCACTGTGTGGCTGTCTCTGACTGTAATCTGATTACTTTTTTAAAGTAACGAGTAAAGTAAGGGATTACTATTGCAAAAACGGTAATTAATTACCGTTACTTTCCCGTAGGAACGCTGCATTACTGCGTTACTAAAACCGTGATTTTTTTGCGAGAGTGTCTCATGACAGTGACGTAAGCGAGTGCGACGTTCGTGACAACAGCTGTGTGCAGATCAACAATGGATCACATATCGAGTGCAGAGAGAGTATGAGCGTGCAGCGTTTAAAGCGTGGAAGCACTGACCTTACTTTGAGTTTGATTCCATAAAAAGTGACAAAAACATTAGTGTCCGCTGTGCGTGGGAAGAAAACTTCTTTTTACAGCCAAAAACCCCTAAACTTCCAACAAGCACCGAGTAGCTACGACGTAATGGGAAACTCACAGAGAAACTCGCGGATTCTTCCACTGACCGCGGCACACCTGCACCAGGGTAAACCTCCGCCTACCCCACTCCTGCTTTACAGGTGAAAATAGAGCAACAGGACCGCTGAGTCTTTGACTTTATTTATTTTCTGCTGTGTTTTACTTGCATCTATTTGAAAGACTGAGTGTAAACACACAAAATATTTTATTTTATGTGCTGGAATGTGCAGAAAATAGGTTTAAATGTTAAACTAATTTCTTCCAGTCAGAGAATGTTGCAGATAATTAAATTTTTGCTTGATGCATAAAGTTAAAAGATTAAAACTAATAAAACAAGTTTTAAAAAGAGACTTTTCCATTTGATCACATTTTGTATGATGGATTATGCAGAAAAAGTAGAATTGGGCTGAAAGATTCTGTCATGGCTACTGAATGGACCCACGCGCAGACAGTTCTTTCAAGGAAACAAAAAGGGGATTTATTTACAATAGGGATCACCTTAGTGCAAAATATATGTACAGTGAGTTGGGAGGGGGTCCAGGGCTCCAGGGAGAGAAGGGGGGGGGGGAATCCACACACACGCTTCCTCTTCCACTCAGTCACCGCCACCGCTCCTCCGCACACACGCACTCCTCTTCAGCCGCACTCGCTCCAACACTCCACACACTGCCCCACTTGGACAGGTCCGGTGATTCGGTCCAGAATCTACAGACAGAAGGTCAAGGTTAGTTCCACAACATAAAACACATGTAAGCGATTCTTCTTTGAATATGCCGCGAGCACGAACTCAGGTGGTTCGACGTTCCAGCGGTGAGCTGCTCTGTGCCACTGCCTTAAATAGCAGCTGGGGAAATCAGCCAGATCAGCCGCAGGTGGACACCATCCACAGGGGTGCGTGGGCCAAGAGTGAGAGCCCGTAATGAGCTCCACCCAGGCAGAGAGGAGGAGGAGAGACAAAAAACTAAAACTAACAACAACAAAACCTGTAGCCAGCGTGGGCCAACCAGAGAGACACGGGGACCGTGACAGATCTATCGCTTTATCACCTCTTCAGGTTGTAAATCGTGTTTTTAAAAAGTAACTAAGTAATTAATTACTTTTGAAAATAAGTAATCAGTAAAGTAACGGGATTACTTTTTTGGGGAAGTAATCAGTAATTAGTTACTGATTACTTTTTTCAAGTAACTTGACCAACGCTGCTGACGACCAGCTCTATCAATTGTAAATATTAAATGTTTATGCAGTTAAATGCAGTACTTTCATTGAACTAACTGATTTCCCAGACAGTGCTGGTGCAGCCTGCACTTGTTTGAAACAGGACTTCCCCTCTCCATCATCATCAGGCTTCCTTGCTAACACGCTAAAGGTTTCTTCACACTACAGAACTTTACACCTTTCCAAGTTTTCATTGTTTTTCTCCCCTCATTGTCTTGTCATTTAACACTAAGAGGGCGCGCTGTGCTTGCACGAGCTATTCTTATTCTATATTCCTTTTAATTCATTATAAGTCAGCATCTAGTGGTCATTAAAGGAACTGCATTTCAATCGATTCTCACGAGTTTCTTCGGGTTTTAGACTTGAACTCTTTCGAAATGTGTTAAATGTGACTGGCTGAGAGACATAATGGCAGCAGCCCTGCTTGTTAAAGAGATTTTCCCTGAGAACATGGCAGTTTTACATGTGGAGCAGTGGGTTGGTGGGAAGCTGTCACCATAATTATGTGTTGCTGTGTTTTGTGTTGTTTATTTTCTGCTGGCTTGTCATCCTGTGCCGCTAGCTTGGTTAGCCGTTGCGTCGTCCTTAAAAAGAGGGCATGTGGTTCGTGGCATTTCACCGCACGTGTTTGTGCCACTAATTCAAGTGATACCAACTGACTGCTGTGGGAACTGTCATCGGTCGCTCTTTGCAGCCCAGTGACAGGAAATCAGTGCGAGACTTGTTTTATTAGATGGTGACTGAAACTGGCTGTTATGAACTGCTGCTAATTAAAACCAGGTTACTGAGTTCAAACGAGGCAGTAAAGTGTGAAATCAGATGCAAGATGTGTGTGATCACAGTCAGACCGCTACCAGCTACTTGTTTGCCTTTCCTAATTTCTGCATTCCTGTCCTTTTCTCTGTATTTTGGCATTTGTCATTCAGTTCTCTGTTCTTGTTGATTAGCCATTTTCCCCTCTTTTTATTCTCCTGTCCATAAATATTCCATGCCTTTATTTTGAAAGCATGTTCTCTGGTGGTGCCCAGTATCTCTGCCTCACAGTCCTCTCTCACTCTATTATTTGAGTTTTTCTTCACCTCCATCTCTTCGCCCAGTGCTTCCTCTGTTGATCTGTGACATGCTCTTTTTATCCTCCCATCTTTCTCTGTCATGTTTTTAGCATGTTTCGAAATCTTTCTGTTTGCTGACCTTTGTCTTATAACACATCAGCAGCTACAAATGTGAACAGAAACAGCTATGCTAACAGCTATAAGTATACCTGAATACATGCCTGTATTTAAAGGTATGTATCTAGGTTTTTCTTTTGTATATTTGTACATTGGATATTTCTGAACACTGTTCATATGTGCTGTAGAACTGTGCACCTCAGCCCATGTCTGCACTGAGCAGGAGATCTCTGTATCTCTGTGTCTGATTGTACACATGTAGTGACAATAAAAGGCATTCTCTGCATTTAGTATAAATCTGTAGAGAGAGAGTTTGTTAATTGTTACCCATCTACTCCCTCATGTTGCCACCTGTTACAGCTAAAAGGAGGATAAGGAAATGTTCTTCTGTTCGTTGAAGAAGCAAATATAGCGTTACTACACAAACACTGTTCAAACTAAAAGTCATATTTTCAAAATGCAGACCCATTTTCATGTGACGCTGTTCCACATCTTTAGCAAAGAGAATACAACTGAGACAGACAAACAGAAATATTCAGCGCGTCCCATCATTCACCAGGACTTTGATGTTTGGGCAATAATCCCAAACACCATGATATACAAATGACCCCAAAGGTGTGTAATGACAGTATTTGTCTCCCTGCCAGATGCGTACAAAGTGAAAATAAATTAGGAAACTACTGCGGCACCCTGAAGTGGCTCAGTGGGGGACGTGATCGATGGTAAAGGTTTGTTGTTTTTAAATGGAGAAACCAAAGAAACCAGTCACGCCCATGAAAATGTTTCTCTGAATTGGAACATTTTCGACCGTTGGGGTTAAATGTATGGACGAGAGGCAAGACCTTCAGAAATGTGAAGGTTGCAGTGAAGTTAGCTTCTTTTTAATGCAGTGTTATGTCCTTTGTGGTGATGTCACCATTGCTACACAGAATATAAAAATGTCAAATGGATTTTCTAATCTGCAGTTCGTGTGCCTTTCCA